CTGAAAGATGGAGCCCCTCATTGTTAGCTTCCCCCACTTGGCCTCCGATGAGTGTCCACAGGGGACCATGTACTCCTCAGTAATGAGGCCCCGAGCTGGTTCTGGAAGCCTCTGACGCCAAGCCTCCAGCCTGCCTGCCTCCAGGGCCCCCAGGGCAGAGCTCCGAGCCTGGGAGCTCTGCGCCTCCTGTGTGTGTTGCTGCAGGGTAAGGGGCCGGGTGGTCACACTGCATTGCGGAGGCAGGACTCATCTGGAAACGGGAAAGCCGGTTGCGGATGGCAGGGGAATTGGGGCTGCGGGCCTCGACTGGCCCTGCTGGGGTTTGGGTTTGTTCTTGGCTCCTGGGCTCAGGATCCTGCACACACAGTGAGTCCGTCCGCCTGCACACAGTGAGAGTCACAACCACTCACGCTGGTCTCTTCTCACTGTGAGTGGTCAGTTGTTTCAAGTGCATTTTAACATTTTGACCAGGAGCTTTGTTGTTGTTTGAGCTTTTTCCCGAAGCCTCATTCCTAAAGGTCTCTGATCACAGCACCCAAGTTCTTTCTCTCAGCTCAGTGATTCACACAACAGACCATTATACCCCCTCTACCAGGGGCCAGGGGGCTGCTCCATCTGAGAGGCACAAGTTGGGGCAGGTCCACAACAGGTCCTTCATCGCAGGGGCTGTGCTTGGGGGAGGTGCCACCACGCCACAGAGCACACAGCAAGCACACACATTCCCATCTGTGGCGCCTCCTTTCGTCTCACGGATGCCACTTCAGTGCTGGGAGTCCCCTCTGAGGGCCCCAGCACTGGCTTGGCTGGAGCTGGGAGGGAGCGGCTCCTTGGTGGAGAAAGGGAGGGAAGCACCCTGGAGGGAGGAATGTTTGGGGACCGGTGGTGGTCAACGTGACTGGTCGGGGCTAACCGAGCCTCTCCCAGGGCCAGGCAGGAAGTTCCCTCACGTCAGGTGTGTTTCATTCTCCACGGAGATGAGGCAGGTACCAGTCGCATCCCCACTTAGCACGTGAGGAGGAGGGGCTCAGGAGGGGAAGGCCGTTTCTGAGTCTGTAAGCAGAGGGCATGGGGAGGCAGACCCTGCCCCGTTGCCCCTCCTCTAAGATGGGGCGGTGCAGGGGCCTCAAAGCAGGTGTCCCCGTGGGTGGGATTATGTGGTCCAGGCCAGGCCAAACCCAGCTCTTGTTTGTACCTCACTGAATGGCACTTGTCCTTTGTGCCCTTGTCTTTCCTTTCTTATAGAAGCCAAAGGTCACATAGGTTGCGAGGTACCTGGTGGAGAGCAGATGTGTTGGTCTGTTGCCTTCCGGAGGCCCCGGGGCTGTGGAGTCCTCTCCGCTGTGCCCCCCTCTGTTTCCGGCAGCCGCCCCCGGGCCCCAGGCCGGGACTGAGGCGCACTGAAGTGGCATCCTCCCTGGGCTGCTCTCAGATCCATTGCTCTCCAACCCTCCTGTGTCCTGGCCTGCAGGCTGCATTGTGTGGGCTGCTTGTTAGCTGCCTTGTGGGTGGCTTCAGCCAGTGGGGGCCCTGCGCCATAGGCAAGGGGAGAAGCCGGGGTACTTCACCCTCTCTTGCAGCACCTCAGCAGCTGCGTCTCCTTCCAGGGACCCACCGCTCTCGGGTGCCCCTGCAGCCCCAGGGTGGGAATGGGCAATGGTGGCAACTTCCTGCACCGGCCAATCTCTGCATTGTGTTGCCTGTGTGGCTTCTCAGTGACACCGCTTGTGTACCCAATTCCCTGAATTACATTTTTTAAATACTTAGAGTGGCTTTTGCTTTCCCCACTGGATCCTGATTGATATACTCCCCGCCACGCCCTCCAAGCAAGGTGACGTGATGAGGTCCATTCTCTTAGCCCAGCAAACTGCAGGTGGATGGAAGGATGATGCTATCAGGCTCAGAGAGGCCGTATGGAAACCCCAGGGCAGCCGCCGGCCTGAGCTCTCCCTCCAAAGGCGCCAGTCTCTGTTCTCTTCTGAGGATTCCCCACCCCCACCCCTGCCTCTGCATCTTTAAAGAAAAATAGGCAGGCACCTCCGCTGGGGCTCCTTCCAGCAGTGAGAACGGGCGACCTGCTGGCTTTGCTCGGGATCTGCTCTACAGAAGCTCCACGTTAGGGAACAGAGAAATAACAGAGGAAGAAAGCAAGCCCCTGCGGGAATACGAACCCTGCAGTCTCTTCCTCCTCCCTGGGCTGGGATTTGACTTTGATTCAAACCTACCCTTTCTCAGATCCTTCCTGGTCTTTCCAAATGCCTGGAGCTGGGCACTGTGCTGCAAGTATCTCCCTCCCCCAACCAAGAAGTGGGTGTTGTGGGGAAGTGGAGGCCACAGTCCTCTGGGAAAAAAAGCGGACAAGAGTGACAGCTTGGGAGTGCTGGCGTGGCGTCGCATGGTGCAGGAGAGCACATTTGTGTGGAGTGGGCCCTCATGCCAAATGGCACCGGCAAGCCCTTTCAACTGCAGGGCCTGAAGAAGAAAGTAATTAAACTCTTCTGTCTGGGATCACCTGGCTTCCCACATCCCCTCACTTAGGATGTTTGGTTCCCACTGGAGCATGTGATTGGAAAACAAAGGTAAATGAGAGCAATTTATTCCCGGATCATTTTTTTTTTTCTCCAGCAGGATTAAAGCTGCCTCAGCCATAAAGAGTTTACAGACTCTGAAGAAAGATAATAACTTCCCTTCTCGCAGCCCGGTCATGGGGAGGTAATGCATGTTTCCAATCAGCTGAGAATGTAACTCAAATGGTAGGTTTTATTTCACTGTAATCCGCCTGCGAGTTCACGTTCAAGGTAAGAGGGATCACTGCCCTGCAATGCGAACAGAGTTCATTAACTGCAGGATCTCCTCTCAAAGGCAGAGGAGCTGGGTTTGTTTACTCTTCACCCCAAAGCCTGGCACGGGCGGTGGGCGCCTGGCATGGAGGTGAGGGCTTGGAGCGCGGGAACGCAGGGAGAGCTGCCGCTGAGCAGAGGAGCTGGACGGTCCTCATGGTCCTGTGTGATTCTCGGGGAACCAGTTAACCAATGGCCACATCAGCACCACCAGAGGCCGTGGGATGAGGAAGAAGAGGACAGGACACAGAGCGGCGGTGGAGAATGCGGCACGCACAGCCCACAACGTGGAAGGCAGGTCTCCCAGCCTGCAGCCCGGGGTGGGGGTGGGGCAAGTCCTGCAGGTGTCCACACCGCCTGGGGCTGACTTGCTTCTGCTCCCCACTTTGCTGACTGCAGACTGCTCAGTGTGCTGTTGTGGAAAGACTTAGTTCTCAGTTTCTCTCTCAGCTCCACGACTTAGTCACAGGGAGACCTTGAGCCAGCCCTGGATTATATCTTGCGTTGTACATGTATGAAGAGGCCGTCCATTTGAGGGGAAGGGGACACGTTTGCGCCCTGTGAAACCTTTAGTGCCACTCTTCCTACAAGGAAACGTGCCCCTTCAGGACCAGCATGACCCTCTCCAATCCCTTCTTACAAAACGCAAATGCCTCCAGCAAGGCACACCTGAGCTCCCCACAGGCACGGGGAAGCTCTGAGACAGCTCTGGTCTGCGTGGGTGGGCTGCCGGTCCAGGGAGGGTGTCCCTGGGGTGAGTTTGGGGGAGGAGGTCTGCATGGGCTGGCCTCTGCTGCACTTGGGTGGAGGTGAGGGCTGGGGAGAGGGTCGAACCAGAGCCTGTGGAGACCTGGTGGGCTGCAGACCAAGACTGAGTCCGACCATCCTGACTGCTTCTGCTTGCGCCCTTCCCAGGGTCTCCTGGAGCTGTGGGTCCCCGCTCTGCGCCTCTGTTTGGGGCAGGATGTGCTGGCTGGGAGCTGTCTCTTGGTGCCACGGGGCACTGTCAAACCTGTCAACCTTCCTTAGCAGTCGCCACACAGGATTCCGGACACGCAGAGGTCTGGTTGAGTTTGGGCTGCAGGGGCTCAGGGATGAGGTCGAAGAACCGGCCTTGCTCAGATCCAGCCGGAGGGTCTAGGATGCCCCACCAAGGCCTGGCACAGGCGTGAGCCATTTGCCTCTGCCTGCTGTCTGCCCACGACTTTGCAGCTTTCCTGTTCCAGCGGCCCTGCCTGCTTCTTGTCCTGTGCTGCCCTCCTCTGCCCTGGGAAACCTGGCTCACACCCTGGCACAGCCAAGGTGACTGCTTCCCTGACCACCAGCACCTGTCTGTCTGTCCGTCCTCTGCCCAGCTCCATGTTGCCCACTGGGAACACAACAGTAGACAATCCGTGGTTCTGTCTGCATGGAGCTTGAGGTCTCATGGGAAATAGACAAGGACACCGTGGTCACAGTGTGCAGATGTCCTGCGTGGGACCGCCTGTACTTCGCCATGGCCTTTCTTGTTCTAGGCCGTGGACGAGATGGCGCTGCCTGATGCCCCCGCCGTCATGTCCTCACGGATTGTCTTCGCACTTCGTGTGTCCCCCTGGACGTGGGGCTCAAGGGATGCAGGGTCCCACAGATACTTCTGCCCGGCTCCTCTGTTCACTGAGAAACATATTCCACTGTGGCCTGGCCCCCTACCGGGACCTGATTTGAAAAGACCACCCCACCCCATTGGTATATGACCTCCCCTGAGTGAAATAACTGCTGGGCTGAATTCTAACACAACCTCCCACCCATCCTCTCAGGGAATTCATCCTGAAAGAGCCCATTTCTCTGGGAAGCCACCTTTCCCTGAAGACCTGTGCCCTCTGGTCTCCAAGGCTTTGATCTAGAAACGACTGACAGTCGGGTGGATGAGGACGATGGTGACAACGAGCTCTCAGGCAGGCCCAGCCCCCGGCTCCCCATGCTCAGGACGCCCTGAGCTCTGCTTGCATCCCTTCCAGAAATGTGAGCCCCACCTTTCCAATTTCCTCTTACACCTCTTCGGTAGTTCCCGCCCCTGCCTCTTCGTGACAATGTGGCATGCAAGCAGCCCATCTGGGGATCAGGGAGTCCTATTGGGTATGCCAGCTTAATGAAATACTTGTAGTTTATTAAACACAGGCTTCCCTAAGCCCCTGGTGCCTGTGGGTATTTGAGAGCCGAAGGTAACCCCCAGCTACCACAAACACAATTGTTACATGTGTCCACGCATTCCTGCTGCAACCTCAACCTCCCGCTCTTAAGCAGCACACAAAATTAGCAACATAAAGTAACTCCTAGTCAGACAAGACCGTGAAATGTGGAAAAACGCTGAGAAGGGCTCCCAGAGCCCCTCAGCGCCTCTAAAAGTATATGACGTTCCCGTTGCCTTGCAGAGCTGGAAGCGTGGAGGGCGCTTCCCCCACCCCAGGCTGTTCGTGTTTGCAGAATCGGTTCATTATTAGCCAGGCAGGCCTCGCTTGTCAACGTTGCCTGATGTAGCTCGAACATTTCCAGTCCTGTTTCAGCCAAGGCGTGCTCTCGCGGCGGGGCTAGCAGAGCGCGCCGTCTGCGGTCTCCCTCTGGAGCTGTATTTCTGGTCCTCCTCCCCTGCTTGGCGGGGGTGAGCTGTCCCCAGTCTGGGGAGGGCCGTGGAGAAAGCCCAGGCGACCTGGAGCCAGTTGCTCTGAACCTGGGCCAGGTGGTTCCTCAGGGATGTCTTCCCATTCATTAGTCTCCTCTGCCCGGGGCCTGTGAATGAGGGGTGAGGGGCTAACGTGGAAGCAGCAGACAAAGGCCTCCAGGGAGGTGCCTCCCTCTACGCGGACCACCATCTGGATGCCGGAGAAGGCGACTCTGTTAACGGGGCTCAGGGGGACCTGTTCCAGGAATCTCAGCGTCAGCCCATTGACCCACACGCAGCCCCTACGGCTCAGGGCCTTGAGGTTGAAGGCCAGTGTCGCGCTGCCCTTCTCCCGGTAGGGCTCCAGGGACAGGTGCTGGCGGGACAGGCGAGGGAGATGCAGCTGCAGGTGGGCGTCCCGGCCCCGCCCCACCAGCAGCGGGCTGGTGTCGTGCTGCAGCCGCAGGGGGACGGTGGCGAAGACGGTGGGGTCCTGGGTGGGGTGGTGCAGGCTCACCCGCAGGACTGTGAGGGGGCTTTCCATGGGTGGCAGCCTGGAAAAGATGGCACAGGGACACACAGGTGGGGCTGGGGCGCGTGCCCGCCCCAGGGGCCCTGGACCGCCTCCAGCCAAGCAGAGCCAAGCACTCACCGTGGATACTAGTATGGGTTCTAGCCCCAGCTTCGTTTCCCCTGGGCTCTGCAAGCGCGGCATGCCACCTGCCCCCTCTGAATTTTCATTTTCTTTTCTGTAATGTATGTATGCCTGACCTTGCCTATGCAAAGTATAAGAGATTCTAGCTTGCCGAGTGATGTTCTGGTGACCTACTGTGTTTGGGGGCAGTTTGGCCCTGCTTCATGGAAGGGAAGAACAGACAGGATATACCTTTCTTATACCTGACAGTTGCAATAGAACTCTTGCCGATCCCTCCTCTGACCAGCTGCTGGGCTACGTGGATGTAAGAAAACAAGCCCCCAGCTGGTGGAAGAAACAGGAGCTTCTAGCATCAGACATGTGGGGGGGCACAGGAGTGGGGAACCCCGCCTGCTCCTCAGAGCAGGCCGCCTGGGGACCCAAAGGAGGAAGAAAAACAGATAGCACGTTCCCACGGGAAGCCGAGGGCTTGTGGGCCTGAAAGCTGTGAGTGTCTCATCCTTACTGTCAGGGGCAGAAGACAGGCCCTGACACAGAAGGTCTCTTGCTCAAGAACTAATTGAGCAATATTCTGTGACACTGTGACACACACACACTGTCCCCGCAAGTCCGTCTCCGGTAATGAGTCCTTTAGAGTCTCACTGGCACATGGGGGAAGGCTACTTACGATGGTCGGCTTTGCTGCTGCGTGGATTTGAGGAACACAGGTTCTCTACCAGTGCCACCAACCCCACGTGGCCTGGGACCTGCCCCTACCTTCAGCAGAAACCGACCTCCCACAGGGCAGAGTGGGTCTGGACAACTAATTGTGCACTTTCCCGGCGCCAGGCTTCTGCTTACACAATTTTCTCTACTAAGAATGTGTCTTCCATCCCAAACTCTGTGTCCGGATATTGCTCCTCTTTAAAGGCCTCATTCCAAAGTGATCTCTTCTAGGAAGCTCTTTCCTCCTTTCTGCCCTCTGACCCCCACACTAGGAAGACCCCCCTGACCTGGGCACCTACCTGGCCCGCCCCGTTCAATTCCTCCTTGCGTTACATGTCAGAGGCCGGTGGGTCCTTGCCCTGTCTGCCCAGAGCTCCCCTCCTCTGTCTCTCCGAGGCCTCCCAAGGGCCGGGCGTGGTCCGAGCTGCCACACTGCCCAGCGCAGAGAGGGTCTGGCCACAGGAATGGTCTGGGGGCACGTTTGCCAAACACCTAAATGAGAACCACATGAAATCAAGTTTACGTGGACCCCAAATTAGACTCTGGTCCTTGAAGGCTGTGGGACAGGGAGCCTGTCATATGTGGTACAGGCTCAATGTCCCTCTAAGTCCCTGACCCTCTGCCTCTCCTGCCTATTGGATGAGCTGGGTAATAATGGGGACCTTCTATTCTGATGGTGAAGGGTGGGCCCCTCAGGACACCCCCTTCTCCCTAACACACATACACGCCTCCATCCACACCCCCCTCTGGCTGCAAGCTGCGGCCAGACCCTCCCTGAGGGGTGTGATGTAAGCCGGGTCCAGGACAGCTGGGCTGGGCGTCCAGGTCCTTGGCCTGGCCACAAACCATGTTCACCCATAAGAAGCAATTCCCTGGCCCAGGGACCCTAAGAGGATCCCTCGGAAAGAGGTGTTCAACTTCTGGCCAAGATGGAGGCGTAGGTAGATACACTTTGCTTCTTCACACAACCCAAAGAAGGATAACGACAAACTTAAAAACAAAAAATAACCAGAACTGCCAGAAAATCAAGCTGTATGGAAGTCCGAGAACCAAAAGGTTAAAGGAAAAACATTTATCCAGACCATTAAGAGGGACGGACCTGGCAGTCGGGGCAGAGAGGACGCGCAGCGAGGTGGCGGCTGGCAGACCGGGTGGTCCCACATTGCTGTGCAGATAAACCAGGAGGAACAGCAGAGGAGCAAGACAGACCACACATCTGAGGCTTCCAGCAACGGAAAAGAAAGTCTCAAAACCTCCCTCTGTAAAAACCTGTGGGGGATGCAGTGGCGGGAGAAACTCCCAGCCTCACAGGAGAGTTTGTTGGAGAGACCCACGGGATCCTAGAACTTGCACAAACTGACTGCCCTGGGAATCAGCACTAGAAGGGCCCAATTTGCTTGTGGGTCGTGGGGGAAGTGACTGAAAGTGGGATGAGAGCCGATCAAGCATCATTTTTCCCTCTCTGACCCCTCCCCCACAGACAGCATCATAATGCAGTGACGTGGGTTGCCCTGCCCTGGCGAAGACCTAAGGCTCAGCCCCTTACAATGTAACAGGTATGCTGAGACAAAGAAATATGGCCCAAATGAAAGAACAGATCAACACTCCAGAAAAAATACAACTAAGTGATGAAGACATAGCTAACCTATCAGGTGCAGAGTTCAAAACACTGGTAGTCATGGTGCTCACAGAAATGGTTGAGTATGGTTGCAAAATAGAGGAAAAAGTGATGATTATACAAAGTGAAATAAATAAAAACACACAGGGAGCCAACGGTGAAGGGAAGGAAACCAGGACTCAAATCAATGATTTGGAGCAGAAGGAAGAAATAAACGTTCAACCAGAACAGAATGAAGAAACAAGAATTCAAAAAAAAGGAGGAGAGACTTAGGAACCTTCAGGACAACTTTAAGCGTTCCAACATCTGAATCATAACGGTGCCAGAAGCAGAAGAGGAAGAATAAGAAATTGAAACTTATTTGAAAAAATAATAAAGGAAAACTTCCCCAACCTGGTGAAGGAACTAGACTTCCAGGAGATCCAGGAAGCTCAGAGAGTTCCAAAGAAATTGGACCCAAGGAAGGACACACCAAGGCACATTGTAATTACATTCCCCAAGATTAAAGATAAGGAGAGAATCTTAAAAGCAGCAAGAGAAAAGTTACCTACAAAGGAGTTCCCATGAAATTATCAGCTGATTTCTCCAAAGAAACCTTGCAGGCAAGAAGGGGCGGAAAGAAGCATACAAAGTTATGAAAGGCAAGGACCTACACCCAAGATTACTCTATCCAGCAAAGCTATCATTTAGAATGGAAGGGCAGATATAGTACTTCCCAGATAAGGTAAAATTAAAGGAGCTCATCATCAACAAGCCCTTATTATATGAATTGTGAAAGGGACTTATCTAAGAAAAAGAAGGACAAAAGTTAAGAACAGTAAAATGACAACAAACTCACAATTATCAACAACTGAACCTAAAAACAAAAACAAACTAAGCAAACAGCTAGAACAGGAACAGAATCACAGAAATGGAGATCATGTGGAGGGTTATCAGCAGGGGGTAGGAAGGGAGAATGAGGGAAAAGGTACTGAGAATAAGAAGCATAATTGGTAGGCACAAAATAGACAGGGGGAGTTTAAGAATAGCATAGGAAATGGAGAAGCCAAAGAACTTATATGTATGACCCATGGACATGAACTAAGGGGGGAGAATGCTGGTGGGAGGGGGTGCACAGGGTGGAGCAGAATAAAGGGAGGAAAAAAATGGGACAACTGTAATAGCATAATCAATAAAATATACATTAAAAAAAAAGGAAGAAGGGTTTCCCTACTGCTCAATGTGACCTTGTTCTCTGAGCACTCCGGAGCTGACAGATGCCCTCGCAAGAGCAGCTGTGCCTTGTGTCTCCCCGACCCCAGCTGTTCTGGGGAAGCAGAAACTCAGCCCTGCCAGTGCTGCCTCTGGAACGAGGCGGGAGGGAGACACTCTGGGGTGTGTGCCTGGCAAGAAGCCAGTGGGATCCCGCTCCCAGCCCCACTAGGGCTCCCGCCCTCACTGCAGGTTCAAACCCCTCTACCTTCCCCTTACCTTACCTCCAAGGGCACGGCTGGTTCTGGCGCCTTCGCTGTGAGCTCTCGGGAGGAAGTGGACTCCAGGCAGGCACTTTTCGAGAATGGCCATTACGGCTGCGGTTCAGGGATGTGCTGTCAGAACGCTCACCAGTTTCGTGGCTTTCTTCCTTTTTCCTTTTAGGAGAGAAAATGAAGTGTAACTCTGTTGCAGAAGTGCAATCCCACAGCTGAGAGGCTGAGAAACCCCAGTCTGGGATCCCTGCTGGAAGAAGCCCCCCGGGCAGATCGGCTCCCTCCTGGGTTTCAGCTTGGCCAGTCTCTATGGCCCTGTGACCCCAGGGACCCTGAGAGCTGTGCCCAGGGTGTCAGCCATGCCCTTCTTCTCCCCTGCCAGTCAGGTGGGGGCAAAGTACCCCAGGCTCATTAGAAAGGGCAGCCTCTTCGGACAGACTGGGCCAGGCCATGTGGCCGTCCCCTGAGGCCTCAAGAAATGGCAGGCAGAAAACACCACTCACACAGGGTGGCCTCTCTTGCAGAAGGACAGCAAGAAAGCCACCTTCCACGTTCCTGCCTCCTGGGCTCTGCTGGCCTCCAAGGGTGGTCTGGAAGAGACCGAGACAGGTGCTTGCTCAGCGCTATCAGCTCTGCTGTCCTAGAAGTGACCCGTGTCACGATGGTGCTAACCCTTCACCTGGCACAGCTATTCACAGTTCACTAGTGTGGTTGTATTGCCTCCACTGTACCTGCCAAGGTGACAAGAGACATGTGTCTGTCTTACACAGGAGGCGACTAAGGCCCCAAGAGGGGCAGGGCCTGGTCCAAGGCCCCAGAATGAGCTAGGAAGAGAACCCTTTCTCTTTTTCCCATCACGCCCTATCCTGGGGACCCTGGAGGGTGTAGAGGTGAGGGGCACAGGCCAGGCCACCCCGTCATCCGGCAGGCGCCTCCCTGCTCCGCCCCGCTGCCCCCAGACTGATGGCTGACTCACTCCTCATGGGTGATTCCTGTGACCCCAGAGGTCCCAGCTGGCCACACCCCAGGGGATAATTGAATTTAAGCCCCTCTGAGTACTCTTCAATGCTCCTTGCCTGCTTTCTCTTTTCTGAGCATTT